GTGATATGCTTTCAGATAGTCGCTTCTAGGTCAGCTGCTGGGGGAAACAGTGGACGAAATCAGACCAAGTGCATTGTCTGCTCGACTATCTTTTCTAAAACCAAGCCTACAGGGTGAACACTGTTTAGGCAAGAGCGCGAAGTCTCACAGAAACCGATCGTAGCCTAATCTCGCAACAGGCAGCACCCGTGCTTTTCCCTGAGAATTTTCCTTGCAATGTGCGAGCTGAACACGATCACTAGTCAGAAGTGTTCCATCTTCGCCGCTTGAAACAACGCTGAAATGAGGCTGAAGATAGTGATAGCACGATGCTTGTGTCTCCGCCCGTGCTATTTTGGGGGTGTAGCTTCTGAGCCGAGGCCAAAGACTGCAGCCATAGAGATAAAAAAACGTGTGAGGAGGGACAAGTAGCGCGTTTGCTTATGGTTAGGCAGCGTTCAGACTTCGCGACGGCAGCGCTTCGGTCGCGCGTTCGACGCGATCGATGCAGTCGAAAGCATGCGCATCGATCGCGTCGAACGCGCGACCGAAGCGCTGCCGTCGCGAAGTCTGAACGCTGCCTCAGGCGTATGACTGGTCGTGCGGCATGTCCCGTGTCTGCGTACCTCTCCTTTGAGATGCAAACAGGCTGTCGCCAAATCCACCGTCCTTTCCGCGCACTTTCAAGGGACGAAAGTGGGTGGAACACTTCTACAGCTGCGTATCCGTTCACCTCATTCATGGCAAGAATCCACATCGCAGGTGAACGTAGCCCTAACTGTAGTAGTGCCAAAACGTTTGCCTATGAGCTCTACAATTTACCTTGTGAGATCTGCATACGGTCTTCTTCCCATTTGCCACATTTGCGTAAGACTGGCTATCAAAGTTATAATGAAGTCATCTTGATCCAACTTCGTGTCGGGAGCTGATGAGCATTCACCAGAGAGGATTTTTGCTGGCAAGTCTGAAGTGAACAAATTCCAATGGATGATCTGAAGTCCTCAACTTTGTCTGTTGCTTGTAATGAGGAGGACCCCAATTGGAAAGTTCTTGACGGTTCCTCTACGGGGGCACACACTTTTTTGCTTCCGAATCCCGTTGGCTATTTACTTTTAGATGGCTTACCGCAGAATCTGCGTTTCAACCAAGACCCGGCTGTGATTCATTACATCCTATGCGCGGTGTCGCGCGCAAAGTATCAGTGTTGTTTGACGTGCTGTAACATTGTCATATTGGGTGAGTTGGTTCCTGGGGCGACTGATTCGGCCTGTAACGCCTCCTTTGTCGCTTTGGTGGCGGCTGGATGTGCTAAACCACCTTCACCAAAACCCCTACACCCAGGTACTAGTGAATTGACACTCACTTTGCCGCCGGAGGAGTAGAAATCCGAACATAATAAAGAAAGTACAGCCCCCAAGCTAGAGACTATCCCACTCTCGCGACTCCACAGCGAGCGAGGAGCGAGCTACAGCCGCTGAAAGTTCTAGTTCTAACGCCCGCTCAGTTGGACCGCCCACTTGCTAGATGCCCTCCGACGGAGGCTCAGTTCTTTGTTGGGGCGGCGGGCATTAATCGGAATTGCATGTCCTTTTTGCTGACAGCGCTCATGCCCATGAATGATTCTGCTCTCCTTTATTACATTTTATTAATCAGGAGCACATACAGAGATCGGAAGGACTACAGTGAGCTGCGCACACATCTCGCGAAGATAAACGCGGTAGGCGACCCAATTTTCGTGGTGGTCAGAATCGAACTCACTTCACTAACACCTAAAAGTATGCACGGCACACGTACCCTTATGTCGGACGCCGGCTTTTGAATGTTTCTTTTTTCCAAAGAGTTAATTTTCATCTGTTTTTGTTCTTTTGTATTCTTTTCTTCGCAATTCGATGCGATTATTCACTAGCTGAGATGTGATAAAGTAATATGTGAGCCAGGGCTTGCACAGAGACCGCAAGGAGGTGTGACTGTCAGGGCGTGATTTTGTTTATGGTGTTCTTGAGGACTCTTGCTTTTTTTCTTTTCTGGGGAATTACTTATCAGCTACTGTTTCATAATTGAACATCAACTATCCATGACACTTTTATCGCGGGAGCTGTCTTTAAGGAACTGATATGTACCTCAAGTCAGTAATGGAGGGCTTGCACTCTGAGGCACGTGCCGTTTAAATGGAAGTCTAATGTTAAGCATTGAGCAACCCCTTCACGGGCACTTTGCTTTTTTTCATTTTGTTACTTTCACAGGTCTTGGGGGTGGTATCTGTCCTGTTCCCTGGCCCCTTTCCCGTCAACCACATGAGCCTTCACTACTCGAAAGGAGCCTTGCGAATGTACAATACCTAAGTGAGTAATTAATAAGTAGCAAGCTTCAACATTGTTCTAGTAAGCTTAATATTGTTTGAATCCCGCCAAAGGGGTTGTAGGAACTTTTGGAGCAATATACATAGTTACCTGGTTCAGCAGTGATCGGCCGTCCTAGTCCTATTCCGTCGGTTATTCGATCACTTATAGCTCTGATCATAGCAGGCGCCGTCCTGAAGCCGCCTGTCAAATATACTACAGTGTTATTGAATGATGGCCGTATCTGAAACGAAGCCCTTATTTATTGAGCCTCATTTTATATAGTAAAAGCCTGCCTAACTACTTACATTGACCAGTAATAATGCACAGATTCTGCAGTCTTGTTCGCTGCGGATGATGGGGCGTGTCAGTGGGGATAGCTTGACGCAGCGTCAGCCTTTTCTTTTCTTTTTTTCTTTCGGAAAGCGACAAGAATGTATCATATCGTTCGTATCGGACGTTTTCCATCAAATGTTGTCGCTTACCCGTCTCAACAACTAATAGAGAATGGGGTGGCGGCACGCCAAACCCAGTCTTACAGACACGCCCCATCATATGTGAATACTCAAATGTCCTTGTGATTTCGGGTGACAATCAGATGCTTTGAGTAAGGTCTAACCTGTTCGGCGAACTCAGCAAAAAACGCCTCTCGTTTTCTGGTAGATTCTCGGCGATGGCGAAATGCTGGCATGCTTACCGTTCCGCCAGATAATTCTACAAAGTCGAAGCCACATTCCTAAACAGTCCCATCGGACAAGTAGATTCAAATACGAAAAATTCATGAAATTCTTAGCTTTGAAACGATAAGTAACAAAAACCTCTTGAAAATAAAAATTTCTCAAAAATTTGCTTTCTATGGTGAAATCTTCCAATAATAAGACAAGCTGACGCTCTAAACCGCATTTTAAAGAGATGCACATACTCGGCATATGAGTCGGACCCGGGTTATAATTCTGCCTTACTGATGTTTCTCCACCTGCGATCTGCGAAGTTGGTATTATCCATGAGTGAGGTGGGCAGATCCAAAGCTGTAGAAGAGCACTACTTCACTGCTGCCATTAGGAAATGCGCGACATGGAAGTTCGAACCAGGGCACCCCATCGTGTTGTGATCATTTCCTGGGAAATACGACCCCCTCCCGTTGTGACCATCACAACGATGGCGTGCCCTGGTTCGAACGATATGATTGTTGGATGCTCTTGTATGTTGCCGCC